ATATATGCGCAATAACAACAACAAAAACGACAATCGTGTACTACAACAACATAAAGCGCGTATAACAACAACAAAAATGTATAGAAAAAGTTTTAAAAGGAACAATAACAAATTTGTAGAACAACAAGAACAAAAAATCGTGTACAACAACAACAACAAAAACATATATAGCAACAACAAAGCTATGTTTGGTTGCAATTAAATCGTATTTTTTATCGTGTTTAACTCTTATTTATATTTGTATACTTTTTTACCACATATTAATGTTGTTGCTTTTGTAAAACTCCTGTAAAGTAATAAAGCAAAATAAAAATGAAGCGAAAAAGCTGTACACAGCGTTCATAACTAAGCGGCCGAGTTAGCATTTACAAATGCCTCTGTGGCTGGTTTGCACAAACGCGCGAAATTATAACGGTAAAATTTTAATTTGAAGAAAAAAAACAGAGCAATCAGAAAACTTAAGCTTAACTTAACTTGTTAGTGTTCACTTAAGCACGTGCTTCAGTAAATCTGGCGAAGACTAGTTATTTAATTTATATTTATTTGCTCTCATAATGTTTCGTATTTTTAATAAATTTGAGTGAGTCTAGACATTTTTTGGTAATTCTTGTGGTTTTTGTAAAAAAAAGGCGAAAAAATTTAGAGTATTTGGCTTGTTTCAAAAATTAATGATAATATATTACACAGCTTCTGATCAAATTTAAGCCGCACTGACAAAAATATATTTTCACGAATTTTAATATCAATTTTTTAATTTAAGTTTAATTCCATGTCACTTTGGTACCTGTAAAGTTGATAAATTGGCTAAATGTATTTAATATTCGCCAGCCATTTAACAAATTCTGACAGTTTATTTAAGTTTTGTTATAAAACTACACCATTTTTTTTACGCGCTCTTGTTATTGCTTAGCAATAATTAATGTTAAACACATTTAAAATGTACACAGCTGCAGTTAATTAAAAATTCCAAGAAAAGTTCATTGTTTTTCTGCACTCGCTGGCTGCTCTAACAATTATAAATGCTTAAAACCCTCACCCGCTCTCTAAATATATCTATATATACATACATATCTGCTTCTGAGTTTGCAAAAAGCATAGCTATCGCTAACCAGTCAGCTATATACACTCTCTGCGTGCATTTATACGCTCTATAACAACAAAAATTGCTGTGTCTTTTTCATGAAAAACTCAAAAGCACAAATTTGCTACTTGTCTTTAGTTTTCCTGTACAGAATTCTTACCAAGTGCGGCAAGAGCCATTCCTCATACTGTGTGCGCAATTCTGATACATGCTGTAAGTTGCAGCATTCTGCCACGAAGCAAGTATACACATCTTCAAGCATAACACACACACTCAAATCCGCACTTCAGCGCTGAGTTTCCTTACATTAACACTGCACGCTTGCCAAACGTTGTTGCCAACGGCACTTCACACCCTTTTGTGTGCCAAAATAAGGTAGAAAAAAGTAGAATAATGTTACCTTTCCACCTTTCATTAGCACTTTTGTGAAGTACACTGCTGCTACTTCTGTGTGCTGCGCCAGTTCGTATGTGTGTGTGAGTGTCTTCAAAGAGGTTACCGACTGCTGAATAAGTGGAATTCAAATAGCCGACGTGGCGCATAACCCCAAACAGTCGATTGCTGGCAGCTAAAAACCGTTAGCAGCAACGCACCTTGCCTTTTGGCAGGCACTTGCAGGCGAAGCAGGTGGCGTATACGTAACATTTAATTCAATACAGCAAACGGCCGCGCACGCCAAATGCTATTAAAGTCGTTCGAATTGTGTGTGTTGCTGTTTTGTTCGCCAACATAAGCAGCGTTAAAATATTGCTAACAACAACAACAAAATAATAACAACAAAAAAAAGAAAAACAACAAAGAAAAAGGGCACAACAACGAAACAGCAAAATCGGCAACAACATCACCGCTAACTAGCGCCAAAAGTATTTTGGAACTTTGGACGAAGAAGTAATAGAAAAAATTTTGCAGCTGTAACTAGTACTATAACGGCAACTACGAATACAAATACGATTTATCTGCTAACACGCGCTAACACTACAGTCGAAAAACACTCTACAGTGAGGCGAAAAGTGTGCAAAACTCAAAAAAAAAAAAATCAAGAAAACATGTCTACTTCGGCTCCACGGAAGCTATGATACCCTTCACAGCTGCATTCTTTATTGCATAAAACGGTATAAAATTTTTTTTATCTTGATTTTAGTTGATCAGTTTGTTTGATAGCTATATGCTATAGTGGTCCGAACCAAATAATATATTCGGATATTGAAGCGTTGGCTTGAACAATAATTTATGCTAAATTTCGTGAGAAGATCTCGTCAAATAAAAAAAATTTCCGTACAAGAACTTCATTTTGAACGATCACATTTGTATGGCAGCTATATCGTATATTGGTCAGATATCAGAAGTTTGAACAAAAGAGCAGCTTTTTAGAGAGAAAAAATTTTGTACAAAATTTCAGAGCCATATCTCAAAAGCTAAGGTACTAGTTAGCATATATGCAGACAGAATGACTGGCGTGGTTGTATTGACTCAGCTTATAGCGCTAATCATTATATATATTTTATATATCCGACGTTTCCTTTTGGGTGTTACAAACTTCGTGAAAATTAAATATGAGCTGTTCAGGGTATAAAAAACAAGCAAATGGGAGTGCCAAAATAGTGTGTGTGTGTGTAGTCGTCAGGTTTTCATTCAATATTTATCAAACGCGCGAAGCGGAGGCGGCAACACGAGCTTTACGGGCCAGCGGTCACGTTGGCAGCTTAAAAAGCCAAAGGCTATCAAATATTATTTGTTAATGAGACGAAAGGAGCATTCAGTTGCAGAGCGGTGTGTGTCAAATAAAGGTTTAAAGTGTCAAATTAAATAAGCAAGACGAATGAGAGACTTTCAAAGTGTTCTAGAGAGGGAGAGGAAAAGCAGGCGCGTTAAGCCTTTGTAGTCTGCTATCAAAGGAAACATGCCAGACGGCTGTGTATTATGCAAAACAGGAATATTAAATCAACAGTCAGACAATATTACATTTACTTAAATGAAAGTGAGTGCCTAAGAAGTGCAGCGCTTAAAATTCACACAAGGCAGAGTCAATTATATTTCGGCGCTTTTAAGCACCCGTTGGAACGATTAGTTCTTGGAATGATTAACGCTGTGGGTTAAGCTATGTTTTGCCGCTTTGAGTTGTTGTAAACAACAGAAATAAGCTGCTAATTTCGAACTAAAGCCCATAGTAAATTTTCAACATAATTTGGTTGCTTGGCTGAGTTGCCCTTACATTAGTCTTCTGTGTCGTTATAGTTTTTTAAAAATATTAATATTATAAATGTTTTATCAAGCAATAAATAGCAGCACTAATATTGTTCACACTGCCCTTTGCTGATTTCAAGGGATTACAAGTGAAATAGGCTTTTATAACAATAAGTTTTAAAGCCAGCGAGTTGGTACTGCTAATACTACTCATCTGATATCCAACTTAAGCTGAACTTCGTAAACCTAATGATCCATGAGTGCAGCTTTAAGCCGTCGCTGGTTGTTCTGTTAAACAAAGTTTAGCTCAAATCTCTCTAGAGAGAATGCTTATGCTTATAAAGGTTAGGCCGGTAAAAGATTTTCAAAAAAGCTAAATTTTTTTGTTGGCTTAAAATATATTTTTATCCAATAGACGGGCTTAACAATCAATATCTATCGCTGTACAAGTGTGATTGAATTACGCGATATGGTCTTATAAGAAAAATTTTTTGTTTCTAAAAAAATTTTAAAAATTTTGATGTCAAAGTTACACCACGCTCTGGTAGGTCAATTGTGCAAAATATCGTTAAAGTAATGGAAATCGTCAAGTTCGACGATCAAAAATCTTATGGACATGATTTGTGAGCGCAAATCGCTACTAAATCGCAACAAATTTGTTTCACTTCTGAGGCAGATGGTTACTGGTAATACAAAGTGTGTAACTTATGGCAACGGCAAGTGAAAACGGTTCTGGTAGAAACGTGAAGAGCCAGTGCAAACGATGGCTAAACCAGGATTGACAATATAAAAAGTTTTGCTATTTGTTTGACGGGATTGGCTGACGTGGATTTCTAAGGTAGTGGCTTTTTGAAATTAGCTTCAAAATGGTCACAAGTTATTTATATTTAACTACTTATTATTATCACTTCGTGCACGATTTCAAGCTAATCTTTTACACTTAAATTGGCTTTCGAGTTACAAAAGCCGCACTAGATTTATGCCTCCTTGCGAACTCGCATCCAAAAGGCAATCAAATTTAAAAGCCTTTCGCATTGCACTTTCATAAATTAAAATTATAGCATATTTCCGACATAATAAAGCACCAATTACTTCAGCTTGCATTTCGCATTACTTCTGAGCGGCAACAATTGTGCAGCGGGCATTTTTATTTTATGCGCGCAATAATCGCAAAACTATAAAGTATTATAGTAGCACACACATATATATACATAGATTGAGACTCAGATATATACACACATACAGAAATACATACACACATATATACCTACACACATATATGCGTGCATACATATTATATGTAGCATTGCCTTTCGCTCTGCACACTTTTCTTGAGCGCATAAAATTCCGACAAATCCTTGCAGCATTGCAATAAAAAACAGGCTACAACAACACCGACAACAACTGCATACAATTGCAGCTGCAACACGTAAAACTGCTTCTCATGCAGCTTATGCTAATGTATTTATGTGTGTATGTGATTGCATAACAATTTCGTGGCAATAAAAACTTCACTGATTTGCTGTGACAGCGAAATTCTGCTTTAGTTGCGAATTGGAGTTGCGCTTGCGAGTTGTGAATTGCGAATTGCGGCAGAGTGTAGTGCAACATTGCCGGACAAACAAACACAAACGCATATACACAAAGACAAATACCAACACACACACACACACACACTATATAGTTACATAGCGCCGGCGGCGCTTAGCAGCTGGGCAATCAATAATAAACTTACGGTAAATATCCAATTTCCAACCGTCCTCCATGCCCGATTCCGGTATCATGCTCTGTTCGGCGCGACAGGACAGGAATTTGCCGCGATCATCGATGGTTGGCGTAAAAGTCAATATTGACGTTGTCATATTACCATCAGGATTTGCCTGCAATGACAGAAAAAAACGAAAGCGGTGAAAGATGAAATAAGAAACGAAACGAGACTTTAGTTAGGGAGTGTTGCTTATGATGGTGTGGAGGTTGAGAAAGAGACGAAAAAATGCAATAAAATTTGAGTTTATAATACGGAGAATAGTTAAGCGCATAAGGGTGGTCCTTTAATTTTCGAAAGATATATGATATTATTATTATTAAAGGGGTTCCCAAAACGCTCTACTCGCGGTATTTCCGCAGTTAAGAATGAAAAAATCGTGAGAATGAAAAATATGTAAAATTTGAATATTAAGGTGGTCTGTAAAAATTTAGTAAACATCTTTCAAAGCTATCCTCATACCTGTTGACACTTGCTCACAAATAACAATATAAGTGAAAACTACGGGGAATATTGAAGTGCATTAGGTTGATCCTTCAATTTTTCGTAAGCTCTTTATTAACAACTCAATTTATTTCTAGTGTATTTATCTCAAAGCTAGCAGTAGAGTTATCAACTTTAAAAAATAAGTTATTATTATTAGGGTGGTTCTTAAAAATTTGTTTTCCACGCCAACTTCATTACTCGTGGTATTTGCTCCAATACAACTATATAGTTCTTGAAAAGAAATTTTAAATAAGAGTTTTAGGGTGGCTTTCAAAATTTGAGAATGTTTTATTTACAAACTCATTTCAACTTTAGTGATACTTATACACAAATAACAATATAGAACGATAAACAGAGAGATTTGGAATATTAGCATTAGATTAGTCCTTAAAAAATCTATTAGGCTATTTTTTCTCACTTCTTCTCTCGTGGTATTAGCTAAACAAAAGAGATTTTTAGATTGAGAGACTATGCTCTGGCCAGGCTTGCCGTAAATTAAATAAAATTTCATATATCTTCCGAAAACTTCAAAAATTAAATTTTGTTCTATGTATATTTAATATATACCGCTTACTACAGCAATGTATGTAGATAAAATGGTTAAAATGTATTTCAAAAACTTTCCCGTTTCACTTAAGTACCACCCTAAAACACATATAACACATGTGGCCTAACAGTAAATCCGAATAACTGCTGAATTGGTTAAGACGAAAGCAGCGGTCAGCTATAGCAAGTTTGCATCAACAGGGCTATATAAAATGCATAGACTACAACATATTTGTATGCAATGCCCCATGGCGGTCAATAAATGTCAGTTCACTTGTGGCAACAAGGGAAATTCAAGGGAAAATAAACAAAATGGTTGTGAAGGGGCACAACAGCAATGCTAAGGCATGTCAAGAGTGCTACACTGCAATTTTGTGCTAAAACGTACTACATTTGTATATATCGGCCACATAAGGGTGGCCCTTATGTCCCACATACATTGAATTTTTTTAAAAATTTTAAACGCTGGCTTCGTTTATATTATTAACAAAAATTAATATGTTTTAAGTATAAGATTTAGCTGTATTTAGCTTTTATGCATTAGGGTGTCACTTATTTTTTTTTAATAATTGTTGATAGTTCAATATTATTATTTCTAGTATTCAAATTACTAACTTTTGAAATCAAGTAATATTTGCAATTAATATTTGCATTAGGGTACTCATTTTAATAAATTTTTTTTTAATATGTCTTACAATATTTTCATTGCAATTACTATAGCATGAATTTTGAAAATTTTTTAAAGCTAATAAAAAGATATTTACGTAAAATTTCATATAAATACATTAAGGTGATCCACGCTTTGTACTTTTAAAATTGTTACTTTGATATTATAGCCCGATTTGCAATTACTATATACATTGCGGTAGCTCTCAAGGTTTTATTTACATATTTTAAAACTTCAAGAGTGAAATATTACATTTTTCAATGACCCTGTATGCTAGATGATGCTATCGTCCGAGCAAATATTTCACAACTGCGGTTTACAGAAACTTTCTTTGCCACCCTAACGCACTAATACAGACCCCTGCTATTCGGTGTTTGTTGCTGTCAGCGTAGTACGCATGTAAAAACCTGCCATCGTCTCAGCCAATGCAGCGAAATTTCAGCTAAAATGACAACTCAAACATGGAACGCAAATTTTGTTGACAAAAGCAACAGAAGCTTTCGCAGCGGCACTAGCAATTACTAGGCGCCAGCGGCATGAGAACCGCGGTAACCATGGTGAGTTAACCAACAGAGAGTTAGAGCCAGAAAAGGAGTATAAAGACATACACACTTTTCAACCACCTTCCATTCTTTTTTACTCAAATTCCGCCACTAGTCTGCTCAAAAATTGGAAAAACATATTAAAATATGCAAATGCTGGCTCTAAGCATCGCACATACTTGGTGTTGTTGCAGTGGCAGTAGTGCCGAAATGCAGCTGATATGTTTGCTGCGAAGCGAATGTGACACATTTCGATTGGAATTCTCAGATTTGAGTTCTACTATTTTTCAGCTCGCTTTCTTGCCGTCTGGGGAATTCAAATTTATGGCACTTTACTCCCGCCCAATATGCTATACTTGGCTTGAAGTGTGCTTCATCAGCATTTGTATTAGTAAGCGCACATTCCTTCATACAAGTATGCTGTTGCAAGTGTCAAATGTGCGGCTGCGTTTGATTTTTATTCATGTGGAAAATAACTGAAAATATTTTGGTATTAAAAAATTGTGGCAGTAGCAGTGACATAACATTTCGGAGAGGTTGAGCGCACTTTATATTCAAAAATCATCATATATTATATCGCTAGAAGGCATCTATTTGCCGAAGATGCCACTGCTACTGCTGCTGCTTTTATCAGATAGCGCGCTTAGTATTCGAAAAGCGTCACACTTAATGGAATTTGGCGTTCGAAAGGAAATAATATTTCTAGATAATGGGCGTATTTTAAGAGGTAGATAACTTTTAAATCAAATAAAGTACAGCAAAGAGAATAAAATTGACAATGTATCAATTTTAATAGCTCTTTTTTGTAATCTTTTGCCTTTTGGTGTTTCAATGGAGTTTCGTGCTTAGAACAGCCTCAAGCACATCTTACGGAAATGCTGATGTATAGTCAAGTGGATTTTATATCAGCTTCTCCAGCATTGTCGGCCCTATCTTGTGAATTTTAATTCACAACTTTTAAATCTGAGCTGATTTATCAGCACAATTTTCGACATACTCATATGCATAGGCCAGTTGATCATTGCATTATTCGGTTTCATTATTCGGTTATCAAAAGTTCTTTGCATATTTCTGTAAAATATATTCGCGCCCTCAATATTGTCGGATAAAGCGTTGTTATTGTCAAAAATTTAGAAATTGTAATAGCCCAGACACACTCCTGCGACTCAGAGAGTTAGCCTGGTTAAGCACCAGCTTGCCTATAACAAAAATTATTGTTGCAAAAGTTATATACAATTTTATGGTTTTTTCTGCGATAAAAAGCACTCTCACTTAGATCTACTTTCCAGTGGCCAAACTTTCTTTAAACACTACATTAAATTATTATTGTTTTATGTACGACGCACACCTTGCTCTGATAATCTCATTCGAATAATTAAGACGCCTCAGGATTTATTGAAATAGGTAGTTAGTATTAAGTATAGCAATAAAATTGTGTGCTTATTGAAATAGTTTCGTAAGCTTATCTTCAACAGACGTCAAAATTTGTCTTAGTTTATTATTAAAGCTGTCATAATATTAATATTAAGAGATTAAGAAATAACGGTACATAAAGAATTGGCAACTTTCTCCCGCTGCTCTTGGACTAATCGTAGTAGAAAATAATTTTTTGTGCAGAATCGCGAGAGCTCTAACAAAAATTTTTTTTACTAAAGTGAGATAGCTATTAAGCCTACGGTTTAATTTTTCAAAACCTAAAATAAAAATGTCAAGATTTATATTATAGTATATAAAGAAAGGAATCTCTCGAGTATTGAATTTTTAAGTAATAATACCTACGTCTGTCTCTTTTTATCTCACGAAGTTTAGTTAGTCGTAGAAATTACAGTTTTAATACCATAGAATTTTTTAGTGGTAAATATATATATAATAAAGCTTAATATGTAGGGTTATGTAATTTTTGAATATCATAAACGGAAACTATATGAACAGTATAAAAACTTGTATATATAATTTAAGCAACTAAATACACATTTCAACTAAATTCACTACTCACCACTTCATGTGTATTCTTCATGGGTGTGCTGCCCTTCCACCAGGTAATCGTCGGCGCTGGTCGCGAACCGATAACATTACAGTGCAGCTGATACGAGTGATCGGCGGACAGTGGCCGGTTTTCGCCATCCAATTTCACAATCAAGGGGCGCACTGCGTCATCAATGGCGGCGATTTCGAGCAACGGAAAGAAAATAAACACTAAATGAGTGGCAAATACTATACAAGTGGAAAAATATTTAACAATTCTCTCAGGGTGTATGTAAGTGTAGTTATTTTAGCGCGATGAAAATGAGTGTAATGGAAAAACATGGAATTGGCAGCATCGCTAACAAAGCCGAAAAGCGGAAGTGACCAGGCAGCCTAGTGCCGCGTAGCACACAGCTCGCGGGTGTGAACCCTGACGCTGTGCAATCACAAATAATTACGCCAATAAAAAGAATTACGCGCCAACGCGACACAACAAAATAATTTCACGCTACAATAAAAATGAAACGCGCCACTACAAGAGTGTAGCAGGCGACTTGCCAGTTTGTTGCCACTCGGCATATATAGTATATTCAATATATAAACCATTCGTGGTAGATTGAAAAAAGTCGTTTGATTTTGTTGTTGTTGCTTTGAGGGAGGGTTTGTTGTTCATTTAAAGTTTTTATTGTTTATTTATTTATTTTTAATAGTTTTTTTTTGTCGTTTAACTCTGTTGTGAAGTGCACAGTGTTGTTGTGAAGCCAAAAATGTGGATTTAACTTTATTTTTATTTTTTAAAGTTTTGAAATTTATGTGGTATGAATTTAGAAGTATATGAGATTTTCTACATTCATATCTTTGTGAGCGCAGTTGTTCATAAAGAAAGCTGGCGATATTCTGACCCGCTGCTGGTGTTGCTCGGTCATAGAATAAATTAAGAATTAAAATAAAAATCTGCAATAAATACTCAAAGACAAATATAAAGTAATTTTGCCCTTCCATCAATCTAAATCCGTTTTGTTTTAATGTACGAACGGTCAAAATTTTCGATAGCTTTTCGATAACTTTTCAGTAAATTTCCGATAACTTTTCCTTACTGCTAAATACAACGCAAATTTTTCGTCGTAAAAATCTGTAACAATTTTAGGTAAATTATCGATCATTGTTCGATATATTTCAGATTTATAATCGATAACTTATAGCTAAATATGCGATAATTATTCTTGTGTATTATAAGTATTTTTTTTTTTAATGGTTTTGCTTCCCCTACCTCACAAACCTAAACACTGTACTGTACATTTGAGCAAACAACACTTGCAAAATGAAGGAAGTGCCGATTGTAGCTGTGCTGTCTACCATTATGATGCAAAATTACTGCCATCGAAGCATCTAGCAATGTCTATCATGAGCCTACGGACATCGTTAGCAGTCATCATTATTTTTTTTAACTCACCGTTTTTTGCTGACGGTCGCTGGTTTGATATATATTTATATGTATATATATTTGTATATAGTATATACTTTTATATACATATATATTTAAAAATAGGGAACGTTATATGTATAGCTGACCGCCTGTCGTTTTAAGTGCACGCTCGAAATATTTGCACTTGCAACAACAGCTTGAAGAGCGTGCAACACGCAATTTAAGTGACAGCAATATTGCAAACAACGCTTATTTATGAAAGAAAAAAATCAAAAATAGCGCTGAAAAAAATATAAAATAATAATGAAAAAGAACCGCATTGCGATAATGATGTGACAATTGTGCGAGCTGTTTGTTTTCGCCTCAAGTGCTCTTGCCTTTATAAGCGTAAATTTTAGTGGTGGTTTTTGTTGCTGTTGCCGCCGCACTTAACTCAGCACGTGCAATTAACCTTAATTGCATTATTGCAATGTGATTTTTTAAATTTACGCGCGTTTTGCGTTCGCATTTCACTTTTTCTGAACGGTACTGGTTTCAACTGACCGCCAGGGAGTTGGAGGATGATGTGGGCGAGCGACTTAGGTAGCTTGTAATTTTTTTTACATACGCTCCAAAGATTAATCGTTGTCTTTACTCCGCTTTTATACACATATACATATATTTTTGAATGTATATACAGATACGTACATGCCGCCGGATCAGTTAAGTATACTCTAAGTAAAAAAAAATAATAAAATGGGAAGCTCTTCAATAAATATGACCGCCATAAAAATCAAGCGAATACTTCACATATATATATATGAATATATATACATAAACATATGCATACATATATACAAGTACAAACATATTCACCACATTTACACCGCATATCGATAACCCCAACCACTCAGCTGCCTGGCACACAATGATTTTGTGGCTGGCACTTCAATTGTATGTGTGTGTGTGTGAATTGACAACTTCGCGCATGTCGAGTGTTTTGAAGTACTCGCAAATGTACTGTTATTTTCATTTGCACATGCAACCATACAATTTTGTATGCAAATTGTGCATGTGTTGTTGGTATTTGTGCACAATGCGGAGCAAAGTGTCAGCACGAGTGTTATTTGTCATGTCGCTAGACTGAAGTGCTGGACTCAATATATGGTTGGTATAATTTGTATTATGTATATACATACATATATTTAAGTGATAAACAGTATTGCAGATAATATTCATAATTTTTTTTATCATAAAATTGCTCTTACATAAGCGGAGTTCATTTAACTTAACAGTCCAGTGTGGTATAAAAAACGTTGAAGAATCTCTAACGAAAAGTAGAAGTGAGCTACTATAATATGTGTGTACATAGAGCTTTAGAGGCTGACTTGCGAGAAAAGCCTCTAAAAATTACACCAGAAGTTTAAAAATCACATTAAAACACGCTCAGAAAACAAAATTATTTTATTTCAATTGTTTAGAATCTTATTTGATGGCTGAAAACACATTTATCCAAACCACAGTTGTGATGAGATGGTAGCTAAGATTCTAAATGATGGACTTAGCATTTTATAACTCGAGGATCTATCTCACTACCTCTTTATCTCACTTTCTCTAATACACTCTTGCTCTCCATCTCTCGTTCAAAGGCAACAACCAAGTCAATTGGATAAGCCAACATAGAGTGACCATTGGTGAAAAGAGTTACGCTAAACTGAGTATATTATTGATAAATATATTTCTCTCTCTCTCTCACGGCCTCTCTATCACATTTTCTCTCGTGCACTCTTGCTCTCCATCGCTCTTTCGATAAACAATTAAAAAATAAACTTCTATGTACTTCTAGCTTTCAAGAACTCGACCTAAAGCTTCAGTATTCAAACCAATAAGTACTTTGTAGCTAAGATAACCCTTAATACCACTACTTGTAAATATTCGAGAGAATCTTAAAAATTTTGTGACTGCTTAAATCAGTTTCAGGCAAAAATTCTCAAAACTAAGTCAGAAATGTTTTTTGCTGCTGAAAAAGAACCAACAACAATGTAATACTGTAAAATATTTAAAATAATTTGCACTACAAATTAACTGCTATATATTTGCACATCACTGTGTTTACATTTCCCGATTTTGGTCATCATTAAATTGACTGCGATTTAACAAATGTTTTTTGCATGTCTGATTATTGTTTTTGTTTTCCGCACGCTTCTGTGGCAATTAAAATGTGACAGTTAATTGAGTTGCTGCTGCTCTTCGAGTCCAGCTGATAATATTATTTTGCACTGTAACCACATTTGCGGCTTGAATTGTATGCGCCCAGTGGATTTCGCATAAATAAACACAAATGGTGCCAGGAAAATAATAGATGCATGTAAAAAGGAGATAAATTCGTGTTGATTTGCTGAGTTCTGGCTATCATGGCTTACTCACAAACTCAATAAACTGTAAAAAAAAGTTTTAGAATTCGCTATTATTGAGTGGAAGCATTATGTTGGGAAACTTATGTGAAAGGCATATTGTTGGAAAAGGTATATTATGACCTATTTCGTGCGTATTTAGGCCTCCGGTTTTCACCAAACCTCTACTCTGAAATTGAAGCTCACTAAGATTCTTGTACTCTTGAAGTGCACACAAAATCAGTTGCTTGCTTTAACAGTTAAGAGATCGTATCATAGTGTTGAGAGACTGATAGGACTTCACTTGATCTTTACCATACTGACATCCTTAAATATTATATACTTATATGTCCAGTTTTTACCGCTTTTAAACAGACACATTTGGCAATGTTTTTTCACTTAAGTAATTTGGTGTTGTTGCCAACCAGCTTGGCTTTAGAGTTATAAGAGTTATCAGACATTTTTGTACTCTTCCGAAAAACTGCTTTTTACTGAGCTCGAGAGTTAGTTGGTCGAGTTTGACATAGATTTAGTTGTCACGTTGTCATACTAGTCAATTTTGTGCTCCAGTTTAGTAGCTTACACTGTTTTAAAATACGCTGACCTTCTGGTTTTCGTATATGGTTAGGTTGTGTGCCTAATTAACATTTTATAGCTTGAAGCTTCGGCTTACAACAACAAGAGTGAAAAATTAAAGAAAAGAGGGAGATGGGGGAAAATGAGCGCTGAAGTACTAATGTTTTTACTGTCGTTAGAAGAGTTTTTAAGTGAGTTGAGAAAAATTCGGTCAGCTAAGCAATGGCTTCGTCCTGGAACTATAACCAAAGGCGCTGAAGAGATATTTCTTGTATATTTCTAAAACATTTGTTAACTACTTTAGGTCAGCAAAATTGTAAAAAATATATGTAGTACCATACTGAACTAGCTTTCAGGCGCTCATTTCATGACATTATTATCAATACATGAGCTGTTTGAGGTTATGCTTTAGAAGCTGAACATTTTTTTTTTTGGCTAAGTGGTATATATTCAGATAAATAACCATATATATGATTAATTTATGCTCGCTCTTCAACTACATTTAAGCATGCTCGTTGGGTTTTAGTTCTTTATAACGGTTTTAAAAGTGGTTTTAACAACATGAACGCTTTTCGACTACAATTAACCGCTTTGTTTCCGGTAAACCTACACCATTTTCTAAAATAAATTATTTTTAATATTACAGTCAATACAGACAGTATAATAATTCATATATATTACGTAATTTTGGTATAACAAAAGTATGTGAGCCAAGAATTACAGTAATTTAAAGAAGGAGAGAAGACGTGGAAAGGAGGCGTAAAATATTTTGCAAATAAAAATAAAAAATTCCTCTAATTTCCACACAAAGTTGACTGCTGTCGCAATTCGAAAATGAATGTGTGCTGACGCACCTGAATAACACACGCACACAATCACATATATGCATATATTCACACATACTTACATTATACATATGCCTTGCACTGTGGATTTCGGCACGAACGCCGACAAGTGAAGTGTGCGTGCTTAGACGAATGTTGGTTGAGGGTGCAAATCAAATAAATCATGGTCACTAGACATTTCTCATACTTTTCTGCAACGCACATACCACTTCTTACACTTATTTCTGTCATTGCTTTACGTCGCAAAGTCCTAAGGTGTGCTAATGCATTCTCAGTATACACAAACACACACACATATATAAACATCTGTGACATGTGAAGGCTTAACTGTCTATCTTCAATGTTGGCGAGTGACACCGGCACTTCTTTTTTCTTGTGTACACTGCCGCTAGCTGCTTGTCTACAAAAAGTACATACACTAGAGTGGTACTTAAATTAAAAAAATTAGTTAAAGATAAAAAGTTTTTTTTATTGAAAAGCAAGCTATATATTACTAATTTTAAGATTTGTGGCACAAATAAAAACTATTGAGGCGTATTGCAATGACCTTAAAGTTTATATAAGTTCATATTAGCGTTAGTTTGAACCTTGACACGCGCAGTACAAACCGAAACCTGCATAAATCGCAACTAAAACTCGAATTCTATATATTTGCATCAGTTATTATCAATTTCAGGCATGCGACTTTAAGAAATAATTTCCTTAGATTTTTTAAGCACCACCCTAATGCACTGAAATGCAACTCTATGTATGTACAAATGTGTTTGCGTGTTTTTTTTTTTTTGTTGCCTTTTCTCCCAATATACGTAAGCACACATACATAGTACTCATATCATCACTTACGATTCAAGTCAAGTGTAACGGTACTGGTAATTGGCGTCGTCAAATTGTTGTTGGCCGCCTGACAGGTAAGCTGCATGTGTAGATTCTCACGTGTCAGTTTGCCCAGCGTCAGTATATTGCCGACACGCCGATCTGACAATGAATGCGAGGATTGGTCGATCTCTTTGTTACCATTCCACCAAGTGACTTTCGGTTGCGGTCGGCCTGTAAATAAAGAAAAATGTTTGAGAACTCGATAAGTAAGCGGCGGTGTGAGCGAAAAGTGCTTGAAAGTTGTGAAAAAAATTACAAATTTATATACACATACGAGTATATATATAGCGCAATCAAACGTAGATGAAAAGTGAAAAAATTGCAGTTATATAAATGAGTTGAGCAAATCAAAGGATTAAGTGTGCGAGTGTGAGGTGTAGGCGAGTAGTAGCTCTGAAAATGAGTGCCACTGTTGGATATGGATGGCAGTACGTCAGAAAATTAGTTGTCAATGCATAGATAGGAATGCGCACAGATTGCGGAGACAATGAAATGGGTGACTTGAATAGCGAGAGTTTGAAAGCTTAAGTGTTTTTCTTTCTTTACTTGCTGCTTCGGTTAGCACTCGTGCTTGTCATATTTGTGCACATTGTGTGGACTTAAGTGGAGTGACTTGAGCGCTTAACTCTGAAGGCTAGAGTAATGTGCGTAGCCATAAATGATAGCACAGCAAAAAAGCTCGAAATGACGTTGGTGTAATCTGGCGTAAGGTAGCTAGATACAGTAAAAAATATTAAAAAGTACCTAGAAGTCGAGCTTAATTTATAAAAACAACTTTGAGATCTGTTCTTATTTGATTAAGACAGCCAACACAATTGAACAATTTATTAAAAAATGAGGGTGCGTTTAAAGTGTATAATCTAAAACTTATACTAACTATTTAGACATATACTGCTTTCATTTCAGCCTCAGAATCTACTATAATGTTTATTTGCGACCAAAAAGTAACTGGGAGTAATAATTACATTTCTATCAGGGCGATTATTTTTAAACTTTAAACAAATATATTGCCTACATTTAGGCGAATATTTAAAAAGCCTAAATTTACGTAAAATTTCTTGGGTAAGTTAAAGCTAATTTAAAGGCACTTCTATAAAAAAATTCAATCATAAAATATATATACAGAGTGACAGAGTATTATCCACGAGCTTTTAATTACATAACTTTCTATTATGTAGGCAAATGTTAAGCGGTAGTGTAAGCTATAATGTTGTCGCTAAAAGTGATCTGAAATAAAAATATATTTCCTATATAAGAAATTATCACTCAAATTTTAAATATTTTACTACACAAAATCTGTGTAGCCTACAAATAGGCGAATATTTAACAACATTATGAGCGATACTTTCTTTCTATATTTTCTGCAGCAAATGTTAATGCATTTCCGTTCGTTTAAAAGACTTTCGCAATAAATTAGTTTAAAAATATTTCCGAGCACTCCTATGAAGCCCGAGCACTCCTATAAAGCATGCTTTGGTGACCGGATATGAAAATCTTCTATCTTTAAAGTGTAGATATGCGGAAATGTTAGTCTTAAGTGCGCTTAAAGGACCTCAATTTCAGATATCTTTAGTTTATTATGACAAATTTTTAGCTTAAGGAACTATTGAAAGATTCATTGATTTTGTGGTATCTGGTTATTTATCTAGTCAATTTTTGAGTTTTAGTAATGATATTTTGCAAAGTAGTTAATATTTCTGCTCTCCAAACATTTTCCATTCATAATGGTTCCCAACCATACTTAAGACACCAAACGCTCAGTAGAAGTCCAAAGGTAGTGGCAGACTTTCTCTGCAAACAGAAATCGAAATCTCTAAGCACAAAGCTCGCTCCATAAATTATTTTATCTAGCTAGTAGATATATGCATATATTATATATAGCCCAGTGTAAGCGCTTAACCAAAAATATTTCTCACACAAAACTCCATACCAAAATATGCCTCAACACACTTATCTTCAAATATTGCTGCCAAATTTACGCATTGGACTTGCAGGTAATAAATAATTTGCGCGTTCTTGCTGTCGCATATTAGAATGACGTTAAAGTTGCTCATACGCCAGCGCCGCCAGCCACCAGCCAGCATGCTGTTGCTTTGTATGACTTTGAAAGCGAACTTTGTACAAAGTTTTCGAGATCAAGCGGCTTACTTGTGTTGAGAATTAATTTCATAATTGTCTAAGCGCGCGAGGGATAGTCGAAGTGCCGCCCACAACTTTGTACATTTATTTTATTTAATGGATAAAATTGCGTGTCAGGCACTGGGGAATCAATTGGTGCTATGCAAATATATACATATGCTCACAGGGCGGTGAATATCAGCGGGGTGCGATTAGTTATAGTGTGTGTTTATGTGAAAATGCATATCACGTGCTTGTCACACGCGGCTTTAATTATCGCCCTAAAGGAATTGTATAAATGTAAATTTTATTAAAACTTTTTGTATGTGTATTTTGGTAATTAATCAGTTGGAAGTGTGCTTGTAAAGAATGCCGCCGCGAAACAAAGGAATATGTGCGGGTTTTAAAGCAATAGCAAAACAGTCGAAAATCGATATTTTTTATAAAAAAAAATACAACCTAATTAATTTTCCAACCTGCAACTCTCTACAGTTTTTTTTTTAATTTCCACAAAGTCTAAAACAGCAAAAAGTGACCCGAAAGCCGCGCAAAATACTGAGTGTATACCTTTTTCACACCACACTCGTACTCGTTCTATGAGCTATCATTGCTTATACGTTTAAGAAAGAAACATATGATATATATTGCTTGCTTTGAATTTGTCTTTTATAGCTAACGAATAGCGCTAACGCTTTGCTGGAATAGCAAATGTAATTAATTACCCACAAATAAAGCACCACACCGTTGCCTAATGTGCAGCACATGTGGCGTGATTAGTATACAATGACAGTCTAGTAGAATGTATTAAAGTAAAAGTACCCACAAACCCTGTAGGAAATTTAATTGTGAATTTTAAAATTTGTATGGTTTTTAGCCACCAAACGTCTGTTTTCTTCGCTTATGCAAGGTAGATAAGACTCAGGGTGGGCATTTTTCAATTCCAAATAACATACAAAATATGAAAGAAATTTCAAAAATAAAATTCTCACTCATAATTTAAATGTTTTTCTTTCGAAAATATGTATTGCTTATATTTCGGCGGATTTTTAAAACTCTGACGATCAGCAGGTCTTTTTCAATCACTTAAAGCTAATTTGTATGTGTTGCCTACATTTAGGCGAATATTTTAATATGTGAAAATCAATATAAATTCTTTAATCTGCTAAATAAGATTTTTATGGAGCTGCCTATAACCTGTTTGAGACTCTAATTTATGAAAATAATCTCTAATATTCAATGGAATATGAATTTTTTAATAAAAAAAAATTAAGTCTTATCACTGTTTGAGACTTTCGGAAGTATTGCAGACAATGCCAGACTTTACTGATTTCACAATATATCATGATTCGCAATCTGACCTTTATGCTATTTAGGCAAATATTGTCTTCATTTTAAGTTTAAAGCCTCCTAAAAAAAGTCATCAAAATTATAAATACATTCCTATCTTGGAAATTTTTCTTAGAAATTCTAATAAAGACTGTTAAAAAATATGTTGTCTACATTCAGGCTAATATTTAAAAAGCATAAATATCTGTAAATATCAATTGGGTCAGCTAAAGCAAGATTCAAGGCGCCTTTGTTAGTCTATTAGTCAAAACCACATCTAAAATAAACCTCGACATATGAAGTATACAAACAGGATGACAAAGAGTTATCTGCGAGGTACAATTGATATTTCTACAGTGTAGGCGAATATCAGGCGTTAATGTAAGTTAAAAGCGATCTCAAATACAAAATAATTTGTAATATAAGAAATAATCGCTCAAACTTGAAATATTTTACTTCCAAAAATCTGTGTTGCCTACATTTAGGCGAATTTTGATATATAACGAGACATATTTATTTCGTAAAGTAAATTTTAATGCATTTCCTTTGACAAAAGAGAGACAGATAAATAGGCAATAAGAGGTAGATATTATAAGAAAAAGATACAGAAATAGACACAAAAGGTGGAAATGCTGTTAGGTATTATAAGAAGTGAAAAAAGAGAAGTATACAAAGTAATAGAGCCCAATTTATATGAGAATTTATGATTTTTCGATAATTCAGTGTCTAAGTGAGTGTCCTACCATCTGCCGCGTGCTCAGTCGTCAAGCACTCAGCCGACGTCACAATAGCGGCTTTGTGGTTTTCTTTGCTCCGCATATTAAAGAAAAAATAATGATTTGGATGAAAGAAGTCTGCTTGAAGTCGCTTCTTTCTTGCGTATCATATACACACATACTTTGTCAGCTACATTTTTTCACATATAAATTTTTGCGTAATCAATACCGAGTGAAATAAATGCAAAGGACACGCATAAAACATGTTTACTTATAACGACAAATAATATTTTCTTAACTACATACATATGTATCACATTATGAATATGTGGCATCATAAACACAAATTGACATTGCCACCGATACGGTTGTGCTTAGTATACAGCTTGGCTGCCATCAGCACCACCATACCCATTAGCATTGTCACCATAATCATCAGCAACGCTGTGCTATCGCTATGCACACTTCACTTGCTGCCATTGTCTCACTGTGTCTGTTGCCTTACCGACTTTTGTCAGTGGTGGCGCGACCAGCCACCAATATTCTGTGAGTTTATGCTTACTCTCCCACTCCATCTCTACTCTACCCGTTTTGCCTTTTCTTCTAATTATTCATTTTTTTCAACCCGCTCTTCTCAGCGCGCGCTTCTTAGCGAATTGGCAACTGGGTCGCCACCATGCTGTTTCCGCGTCTCTGTGTCTGTCGATTTGTTTTGCTTTGCGCTGCCCACCCGCCGTTAATACTGTCTATCTTTCTGTTTTTGTTTTCTTTTGCATTTTTTTTGTTGTTTTCTTTTTTTTTTTTCTTGCTGCTCTCTGCGCTTATTGATGTTATGCCATTGCTGCATATCCAGAGCTTCGTGCTTCGAGTGCTTCGCATGAGTGTACCACTACACTTATGTGATTCAAGTGTGTGGCGCAATGTGTGCAGTGTCATCTTGACATTAGCTTTTTCTTAATATTTCATTTTCTCTCCGCCGCTTCCCTCCCCGCATCGCTGCTGCGCTCTCATCAGCATTAAAGCGTTACACTCCTTTTATATGAGTAAATTTTTCTCCATTGCCATACAATCGGGACTTTGAATACATATATATATATATATACCGTTATTTGTTGATACCAATGCATACATATATATAAATGATATGCCATATACACTAGTACACACGCTCACATAAATATTTACATATAGCGGCGCATCCTCACATTGAATTCGTGCTTTCTATTCCATTTCAGTATATAAATTCTTATAAATCTTTATAAGTATATTTGTTTATATGTGTGCACATGTAAATATATGTGTATGCATATATGTATATCTCTGAATATATTTATATATTCTTGCGTGCTTGTTGTCCCGATTGCGAGCTTATAATGACAGCTTGCGGCAATCAGCATAATGATGAGTGAACGTCTGCATAAATTATTCGCTTCATATTCATTTCTTTGGCTTCCCACACAGTTGTTTTCTTAATTTCTCTGCTAAGTATTTCGTATTTCGTAAGAATCATGCATTTTCATACTACAATATGCGTAGATAAATAAGAAAATTATTTTTTGGATACTAAGTATTGCCATGAAATAAGCGGGAATAACAAATGGTTGGGCATAAGCAGAAGTATCACTTAGCTTTCAGTCTAATTACTGGTGCTTGCGGGGGAGTGGCGACGTCACCTCGACTACCCGACACCACCACATTGTGTGTTGTGCTACAAAAAAATGTTTGAAGTTATTGGCGTAACAAAAGCTGATGCTTCCGTTAGTTGATTGGCGAAATAAGCAGCTAAGCGGTCTTGCGTGTGGCTTTAGTTGTACTCTTTTACAGCTCTGAAAGAAATGCTGGTTCCAATTGTCGTTCAATTCACTCTCTCTATCTCTCTCTCTCTCTCTCTCATTGGCGATAAATTTCGTATTTTTACACTATATATCCGCAACTTCAGACGATATGTTATAGATACGGCTTCAACAAAGACGCAAGTGAAATTACAACAATACATGACCCGGAGACCAGACTCTATATACGCTACCGCTATATACTCGTATATATGTGAGATATAATTTCCATAAACAATAAAAAAGTTACAATAAAAGTTGAACGTAAATTCGAAACGATCTTTTTCTCGGGCAGCGCTCAGTATATTCAAGAGTGCCTTTAGTTCCCGTCTCTCAAAGAACAACTTGTCAAGTCGCCACACTTTCCTTAAGTTAACAAGGTATCACCTGTGCGCAGACAAGTTAATTTAAGAAGTACTTTGCATCTATCTACGTGAGATGGATTAAATCATTTGGTCGAAGCAATCAATACTTTTACTTAATAGATTATAAATTGGTATAGAGAAGATACTGGAGAACAATCTAAGAACTAAAATATATAAGCTTCTTTCATTAGACGGAATTTTGCACTTCTCTCGATAGGATAGGATTTGAAGTTCCTTAGATAATCTCAGGAATGTTGTCAAGTCGAGAATTCGTGGAATTCTTGGTGGGATATATATACGGTTTCGTTCCTGTTTCGTAGCCTCGACTGTTGAGTGAGTGGATTTGTGAATAAACTGTCTACTTGGACACTTAAGACGCCTGTTAATAGTGTGGTCCATAAAAGCCACACTGAGAAATTACAAATATCTCAAATGTTGCGCATTCTAAGCAAATAACGTGCTGAATCTTAACAAAATAGTCGGATCTACATAACCGGAACATCAGTTAAGGATATATATTATTAAGAGCACGAGTTTTTCCAATTCTACCAAAGAGGTTTTCTGAATTCTTAAGCTTAGTAGGATAGAAATTTGGCTAGCCAAAGTGATGCGCCTAACTTCAAACACATCTTAGAAGTGGTTTTCAATAAATAGCATAAAGAGATTCTTTTAGTAGCTTTCTTAGACTTCCCATCAGCTAAAATAAAACCGAAGGCACATTTTAAAAGAAAATATTCGTTCCGACCTTCCACAAAAATATATATCAAATATATTACAAAAGTCTTAAAACCTTAGAAGTATCTGGTGGTTCCTCTCGATAAGCTTTCTTTTATTTTAAAGTCTTCATGATCGTTAATATTAATACACAAAGGACTGCACATAATAGTCTATATTATTTGAACTTACCCCCAACCGCCACACAGGTTATGTTGATGACTGCGCCCTCATTATAGGGACCCAATTTGTAGTCCTTTATCGTCGCACCTTTACTGTCTAGTATGATTATTGACTCCGGTGGTGCTGTAAAATAAAAATTATAAAACAATTTTCATAAGTTTTGTTAAAAATAGTTTAGAATCAAATATATAGATCTCAAGCTCTCAAACGCTCAAATTTATAACTTTTTTCAAATATTCTAAAAAAAATTTCTGAAAAAACTTTCACGAAACTACTCAGAAAAGTACAACGTATCACTTCGTGAACTCTCAGCACGTTGTGAACTCTCAGCACAAAGGTGTCTAGTGTTATAAGTGAAGGCTCCGAAGTTGCTCGTATGCTGGGCAATTTTGAAATTGTGAAAATTGTGTGGAATTGTGAAAGTGAAATCTATCTATGGAAAATACTCGTAAAGCGACCAGTTTAAACTTCTGACGCCAGTAAAATGGAATAATCTTCGTTGGAAGCCTCATCTTTGGGCAGGATTTTTTCGACAATATGTTTCGAAACCCCCTTTCGATACTGGCTCGAGATTTGTTATCTTGTCGCGATGAGTGGACTCAGAAAGTTATGCCGGCCATAGCTAGTGGCATGAACTCCCAAGTCGGTAAGGTCGAAGGTGAGCACCGAAGCTCAAACAATCCAAAATCCTCCTGCGTTGTCTGTTCACACGCTAGTGACGACTACAGCGGGCATCTGTCTTGGAGCAAGCTTCTCTCGTTATAAACGTATATGTCTTAATGGTAGGTATAGCAAAGGTGAAGAAGAGGCGGTGGGGAAGTGAAACGAAGTAGAAGAGGAAAAAGCAATAAACTCCACACAATAAATGTCAACTGCGGAAATCGTTGTCAATTCACTTTACTCTTTAGACGCTTACTGCGAAAACTTTTCTAAATATAGCTTATTAGTTGATATACGCATCCGTATATAAACGCATTTGTATGTATATATGTAATAATGCGGTTGTTGTGCTTATTTCTCTTAAGTTGCCACGTCAAATCAGCAAATTAAAAGTGAAAGAAAATAAATGAAATGCAATGCTGGTGGTGCTGCTCTTCACTTGCTGTCAGATTTGTTTCATTACACATATTTACTTCTGCTTATATATACACTTGTGTATATATGTATGCATGTATGTGTTGTTGGTATTTCATGCTGCTTTGGCGGCTTTCATTAAACGCATTGCATGTCGACATCTCAACGCCATCAAGCGATGTCTTTCAACCGACGGCAGCTAAGTAAGCTGCATGTCAGTCAACCAGTCAGTTTGTTAGAGCAAGCAACACGCATACACCAACACACACACATATAGTTTAATGTATACTAATGTATGTACTACAAATAAATAGTAGCAAATTTACGAACGCCCACGAGCGCCGGCGAGCATGTGGCAAGATCAAGCGTAGGAATTTTATTAAAAAATACTCATACGTCGTGCCGCATGGCATGCCATCATCAACGTATGGCATGCCATACATTCGGGAATTGTGCAAGCATACACGCATAACATATGTAAGCGTATATGTTTACTTTGATTGTTGCTGTTCGTCGGTATTGTTGCTTAAGTGAATCTATGTGGGTGTGTGCGTGTGTGCGTTTCGCAGCTTGTTGGCAACTTTTGTTGTACGCTATTATTACACAACGTTGTTTTTTACTCGCTGCTATCGGCTACCATGGGAAATGCAAGACAGCAATAAAGTGTTGTAGAAAGTGCAGATGTGTGGCAAGTGGCGTTGTGTAGCCAACGCTACATATATTTGAGTTGTGTGGCATAATGAAAGATTTTCTGTTTAGCTATAGTGATTTTTCACAATTTCAGTTCTTTTTTTCTAAATTTTTCTAAACTTTTTTTTTCCTTGCCAACTCACATAATTGCACAGCAACGCAGCGTATGCTAGCAATGCAATTGTATTGAATTTAATAGAGGACCAGATAGGAATTTCATTGAAAAAGTATTAATAAAAAAATTGGAGAAAATTTGATAAATATATATATATATATATATTTAATAAATGTAAAAAAATTAAATAAAAATTCAATAAATATAAAACACATCTTACCAATTTCAAAATATGAAATAAAATTAATTTAAAACCAAAAAAAAATCAAAAATTAAACAAAAAATTTAATAGTTATAGTAATAAAGCCAATTAAACAAAACCGTATAATATATAAAATATAAATCATAAAATAACAAAATATTTATTAAAATAAATAAAAAAAAACATACAAAATTATGTTTCAAAAATATTAAGAAATAATTTAAGTTTTTTATTTAAATTTTAAGAGGAAATTGAAAAAAAAATTTTAAAGCCTGCAGGATGCCTAATAAATTAAAATAAATTTTAAAATTTTCAAAAAAAAAAAATTCCAAAAAAAAAAAAATTACCAAAAATTAACAAAAACACAATTGTGTGTGCAAAAATTTAAACAGTATTAAAAAAATTCAGAAAAGATTAAAAATAATATAAAAGTTATAAGCAAAATCGAAAATTATTTAAATAAAAGTTTAATTATATATTAAAATAACAAAAAAAAATTTAGAACTAAAACAGAAAATAGAAAGTAAAAAGTGTCTTTAAAGCTGTTAGTGTGCCTAAATTCTTTGACTGAGTGTAGTTATGTAACATTAAAAAAAATTTAAAATAATCAAAAAAATATTAAAAAAAAAAATCAAAAAATAATTAAGTTTAGAAGAATAAATAAATAAATAAAAATGAGTGAAACATAACAATATGAAAAGAAAAAGAATAAACAAAATTAAAAAAAAAAAAAATTAGAAAAAAATTTTAAATTATATTAAATTTTTTTAAAAAAAAAAATGAAAAGTATTTTAAAGTTAAAAAATTAGATTACATTTCTAAAATATTAAAACATAATTTTAATATGCTTGAAAAAATTAAAAATATAAAAAGAAATAACAAAAAATATTATTTAAGTTTAAAGCCTAAATTCTGCTCGTGAGTGAATTTATATTTAGGACTGGCTCGCAGTAAGACGTTCAAATATTCTTCGAAAAAATTTAAGCTTTTTTACATGTTCTTTTGCCAGTGTGAAGTTCGTTTGCAGTTATTGTTGTTTTGTCTATAAATATTGACCAACACTAGTTTGGTTCGCTGCCCATGCACACAACGCACAACTTTCGCTCGGCGCACTCAGCCTTGGCACTTTTGCTGCGGCGAAACTTTCTAGTGCTAGTTTACTTAAGGGTAGAATATTTTGATTGCAGTGAAATAATTTTTTCAAGAATGTCTTAACTTATAATAGTGCAAGTCAACTATGTATTGATATGACGGCATATTTAATTGCAAATAAATGCCAATGTTGCGCAACAAATGAATATGTGTAAGCTTCTATGAAAAATTTTATAAAAAAAAATTTAAAAAATATTAAATTATATGGCAGCTCTGATTAAGCGTTTTTTTTTAATTATCATTTCTGTATCATCGAATAAAATTTTAATAGCTCAAGAGGAAAAAAAAAATTACAACATTCATATATTATAGGTTTTTCACTTTCGAAAAATAAAGAAAATATGGCAACCCATATATCAGTAAAAAAAATTTATTACATCTTTTAACTTGATTAATTCAATTTTTTTTAAATTTCTGTAATATTAATAAAAAAGAAATATCTAAAATAATTTATGGCAACTCTGTTTGGGTATTTTATAGTACAAATGTAAACTCGGCAATATTTCTTTAAAAAGTTGTATTTTGTAAGTCAAAATATTGTACTATTGTATTATGCTAAAGCACAAAATTTTATATAAAAAATATTATATTATGTGGCAACTCTAAAAGCATTTGATATGAATACTATTGTTTCAAATAATTTTAAGCAACAAATAATTATGATTTTTAAATAAAAATAAATATTTTGGAAATTTTATAAAGGGTGGCAACCATGCCAAATTGAATTTGCTGTCGAAACCTTTTGAAACTGAGATATGTTTGCACTAGTATTAAAAAGGACATATTTACAGTTTCTTTGGACACTTAGCGACTCGGTTTTTCTGAGGGGACATAGAATAGAATATTCGCTACCATTGATTTTTGCTTTCAAGTTTATGTTAGTGCAAATCTTAAACTGTTTATACATGCATTTTAATGTGGCATTCTACCATATTACCAACAGTTATGCAATCAGTCGCCACAAGCTTCCATTTCCGTTACTCTGAGCGGTTCAACTTCTCTACTACCATATTCTTCGTGTTGCACACTGCCAACTGTTGTTTAGTTTGTCTACCGCAGTAGTTGGCAGCACTTTCTCCAACTCAACTAACCAAAACCAAATTTCACTCAAAACTTTATACTGTTTCGCTAAATTTATAAGGAAGTGCAGGTAGCACAAAAACGGCAAAAAAAGTGAAAATAAATGCCGCAGCAGCTTCAAGTCTTCTAGGTGCTCTCTCCTTGCAACGCAACACAAAAGTTAGTTGTTATTTAGGTGAAATGAAAAGCGCAAAATGTTCATGCCACACACACAGACGCTTATACTATTTATCCACAGCAAACGAGCTGCAACTATGCACATATGTACACTTATGTAGTTATTATATAATATATCTGTATATAAATGTATGTAAGTATGTGTGTATGTGTGCATTAAATCTTCATCTTCCATATCTTTTGACCTATAAAAGTTTTGCTACCTTTGTGACCACTAAAAGGAACTTTTTAGTCGCTTTGTGCCTTGTATTTATTAAAATTTACTTTTACCGTTATGTTGGTGAATTTAGTATTTCAGCACCGGACGGAGATGAAACGAAATTGTATTGAGGTGAAATGAGTTTTTTACGCTTAAATTGTGTGCGCAATTTGGTGAAATATGAAACTTTTTGATCTAGCATTTATTGGGTTGAAGATGAGCATTTGTGGTAGGTGACTATTTTTTTGAGCAATATGCAATGATTTTGCAGAGAAGACACAAACGAGCAATTTGATGCGAATATTTTTGAAATTTGAGAAAATAAATATCTAATATTTCAGGTTTTCAGCGATAAATATTTATTTAAATTTATGGAATAGGTGGCAATCGCTTCTGAAAATATACTCTGCTGTAAGTCCTTTCAAGCTACATTCGTTTGATATCCATATTGCAATAAGGATTTTTTAATAGGTGGCAACCATATTTGTAACATATTTACATATGGATGCGTTTGTAATGCAGGTTTTGTTGTTTCACATCAATTTCGTTACTACAAATTTATTTAACCAATTTTTTTGTAGTAAATGTCTTTAAGAGGTGGCAACTCTGCTTCAAAATATTTTCAACTTTGAGCGCTTTCAAGCAACATTAGTTTGATATCCATATTGTAGTAGAGCACGCATTGTATCAATTGCATATATTTCGTGTTTTTCAGCGGTGGTGGTAATGCGAATTTATCGATAACTATATATCGATTTAAAAATATCGATAAATACAATTTTTTTTTGATAATATTATGAATTTTTAATATTTTTAATGACAAAATTAATCGATAACAAGCATTTTATCGACTTTTTCAAATAATAATCGATTATTCTTAAACTACTTTTTGGTCGATATTAATTATTATACTGGTACTTTTACTCATTTAACGCTTAGTCAATTTAAACTGTCAAACCTACATACACCGCTTTGTCATTAACAAATAAATTACTGCGACTTGAAAGCACTCTCTTAATTTACTCGCCAACTTCTAACAACGAACACTTTTACTGGCCATCGTAACTGTATAAAACTTTTAACTTTTACGACTATGTTACTTACGAATTCATTGCAGTTTTTAACGGCTAACGAAGTTCGGGAACGATATTAAACACGAAAATTTTAAATAATTGCAAACATGCAAACATTCTAGCACTCGAATACACCCCCCAGGAAGCTACTGGCGAGCTAAATTAAATAATGAGAGGAGACTGAAAACTAAAATTACAACAACATGGCAAATATTGAGTTGATTGTAGACAAAACTTAATTTAATTTGCCAATAAAGTTTACGCAGCGTCCTCAATTCTCCCACTTACACACACACACACTGACATAATAAATATGTATAATATAATAGATTACAAAAATAACAGCAAGAACAATACTTACTTATGACAGTTAAATTCACTTTCGAGTTGCGAGTCGGACTCTTTTGAAAGTCAACACGGCAACGATACTCGCCCGTATCCTCTTGTCGTGTCTTCTTAATTGCCAGCGTCCCCGAACGTCCCTCTACGGAGAAGGACAAGCGATCGCGATACGATTCATCGGACCAGTGTGTGCCATCAGCAAAGTTTGAGTCGCGCGTATCGACGCTGCAAATAAAAGAAGAAGAAGAAAATAACGAAGCAGTTAAAAAGTGGCGAATAAGAAGAAGCAGAAACGTACAAAGGGCAATTTTATAAAAAATTGCGAACTAATAAAAGTTCAAGTATTATAATACGAGCATTGGTGAATACAAAAAAGACATTAAATAGTTGGAGCTGGAGCGAAAAATAAACGCAACTACTTTTTACCGTTAGTTTTCAAGACAAGATAAATACTGTTTTAGTTGTACGGAGATTCTGGATAGCAGGATTTCGTTATGCTTGCACTGCCTTCTGACTTGCTTCGAGGGAAGTTTGGGTATCGTCCAGAGTTGATTATAGCGCTGACATGCACGACTGTCAAACTCTGCTTTATGCCGAGCGACATTCTCACAGTCTAGCGTTGACACGCGCTGTCTTCCACCGCCGAGAAGACGACTAAAAAGCTAAAGAACTTTTACTTTAAATCAATTAAAATGCCAAGCAGCTTAATTGGAATTCATCAGCAAATGAACGCGCGAAGGCAAGAGTGTGTGTGAGAGAGATAGAGAGAGAGAGAGAGAGAGAGCAAGCAAACGTGTGCGTACACGCGTACTGAATAGTTTCGCAGCTCATTAGAGGGTGACGTCCGTCTGCTACTGTGTTACCGACTACTAACAACGATAGTAAAAGGACGCAAGCGTTGGAGGGACGCATGAGCGGGCTATACGCGCGCGGGAAGCAAGAGTCAAAGACACCAGAATATAAGGCAAAAAGTAGAAGGCAGCTAGGGTGAGTTCACCGACTACAATGTGCCAAAGTTTTTGACAAAGTGACAACTTGTGAAGCAGCGAAATGAGGCGTTTTATTGTTATAGTTGGCAACGCTGGCGGGCCAATAATGCTAGCGGATGTTTTTTGTTCGCTTTTTTCTGCTTTTTGGTATGCAAAGTGACAATGGCGGTTAAGTTTTGTGATGAAATGACGAAATGTTAAATTCCAAAGTGACTTACGTTCACTCTTCTACACACACATACACACACGAATGCCGTTAAAGTCTATGCATGGCGTATAATAATGAGGGTTCTGATATAGTTAGCAGTTAATTAACGCAAGTCCAGGTGAAGGGGAAAGGTGAAGCGCTTAAGAGGTCATGGATTGGCAAGTGATACTCGTCTAACAACAAAGTGACACTTCATTACACGCTGTGGCATTTTGAAGTAGTAATTAAGCTGTAGTCAAATGCAAGTAAATGGGTGATGTGTTGGCATAGAAGGCTCGCGATTTTTTTATCCTTTTAAATAACAGAAAAATCTGTGCGGATTGTCAATGGCGCTGTTAGCTGAGTCATTCTCTTTGATTTCCACTATTACTTTTTTTAGAGGGGAATTTTTCTGGACTTTGACGATTGTTATATGGAGTCGTATAACGAAAAGAGGGTGGTGGTTCGAGTTGCTTATGTCTTCAATCTGCTACGACTGCGGCGAAGTAGTGTACGGGGGTTTGAAACCTCCTCAATATGTCAGATAATTTAGGTATGCAACACAAAGTTCCACTGAATTAAGAATGCCTTTTCAACAAGAGCTCACAGCATACATATAATACTATGAGTTTTGTTTCAGAAAACTTCGGCCTACGTAGTCTTCAGACAGCCAGTGTGGATCTGCCCAAATGATATAGAGCCGACTGGCGCAGGAATGTTTGCTCTCATATTTTTCTTTTATCTTCGTTCTCTCGAAATCGGGTTATGTATTTGGCTTGTGACTTATATGCTATGCAACTAAAATTCCAATAAAAGGAAACACAATTAACCAAAAAGATATCAGAATGGATGGATTAAAGAAAAATTAGTCTTGGCGACAGCTATAGAGCTCATGTTTGGCAGTAAAACTTAGCATTCATAGAGTCTCAACTTGATGAGAAAAATAGAATTAAGAAAAATGGTATGGCAGAGTCATCCTTTTATATACAAGTAATTCTTATATATATCAAGTCAAAAAATGAGTTTGCAAAAGTTTGTTTGTAATTATGCTTATCATCTCGGATTTCAGAAATTTATTTAAATTATAAACAAGATGGACGGGGAAACCCAAAATTAGCAGAATTCATCATGAGTCTAAATTGTTTCAATACTTAAGGTAAAAGTCGGTCCTTAGCAATGATATGCTCTTTAGATGTTAAGAGATCGCTAACTGAGATCCTAAACAAGTTCGTTAGGAAAGCAAACATCGACTCTAATAGTATCTCTACTACTAAAAAGAGTCCAAAATCGTTCTACAAAAGTTATATGAGTAAAATATTCTGAATATTTATCGTAAGACTCATTGGTCAGCATCAGCTGATTAATTAAAGGTAAACAGTTAATTTATGCTTAACCTGAACTTCACAATGTCATCTCTCTCTCTCTCCCTTGCGATAAAATACGATATTTTAGGACATGGAAGCTCAGTGCTATCTACTTTTAAAATTTTTTCGGATTATAACGGTTCGAATATTGCGCAATAAACTTGTTTACAGCAGAAATAAATAAAACGCACGACAGCTGACGCATTAAGGCTGGTCTTCCCATTGCACATAGAGCTTTTATGTATATTCAATTTAATTTTCAATATTTCTTCCACATCACAACGGATTGTTTATTAACGGCTGTTAAATACATATGTACCATATGTTTCTACGTAGAAATAGTGTGTGAGCATATAGTGTGCGCCGCTCCCTTCAATTAAGCGGATTTCCGTTCTCTCTTTTATTGGCCGCTGAAGAGCTTGACTAAGTGCTTGTTATCCTTTAAGCATTATTTTCGAAAAGTGAAAACAATAACTGCAATAGGTACAATGCAAGTGGCCGCAACAGCAACAGCTGCGAACTCTTTTAGTTTAAACAAATTCTGCTCGCTTTTTGCTTTTTATTCGCTTTACTTTTGCGAAACTTATTGTGTTTTTCACTACTGTAGTTGTTGTTATTGAGATATGACTTACTCTTATTTTTGTTTTGTTATGCTCATCTTCCCCTTCTTCTCTGACTTTCTTTTTTGCACTCTGTGCCGCTGTAAGCGCATATGCTACCCGAAATTTTAATTAAAGTTTTTGCTCAGCCACTTGCCATCTGTGCAGCGTACACAAGCTGTGTTGCATAGTGTTGTATGAAGTTTTTATGTTTTGAGTTATCTTATTGCGAAGTAACAAAGACGCAATCATATTTTTTCAGCTTTAAAAAGTATTTTATTTTTATTGGTATGAGGCATTTGAATCTATTTTCTTTGGTATGGTTGACTGAGCTCAGAGTAGACACTGCATGGGACCTACGATGGCTGCCGTTAGAGAGGTATATCAAAATATCTCTCTGTGCTTCATTAGGACGGGAAGTAGACGTACACAGACTACTATCTCAATAAATGCTATCAATAAAATAGTCGTTTTCTAGCTGATATTGAATCTGCGACCTCTTCACTGCCTGCAAAGTGGCTCAGAAAAACATCAAAAAGATTCATAAGCTCGGATTTAAGGTCTGCGTTGAGTTCTACGTAGTAAGCAGTTCTACATATCAATTTCAGAAAGTCTGTTTTAAAGCGCAAAGCAAACCTTCATGACCCCGTCGGTCTTGAATCTTGCGAATATTCATCCCACAGCTCCGTGGTGTACTCAAAGCTCAAGTGTCTAAAACTTGGTTGCTTTATTGGATGAGCTACGAAACATCCCACTGGTTTCAAGAAAGGAATATTTATGTCACAGCTCCGAGATGTACTCGAAAGTCGAGTGTCTTAAACCTGATTGCTTCACGTTGCGAGCTCTACAAAGCGTCCCCTTAACCCCAACAAAGGAAAGTATTTGGCAAGTTTCATATTCTCTTTATGGCTCAAGTTAATAGTTTGCCTTTGATACGAAATGGTAAAGGAGCTCTATGATCTCAAGTATGGGTCTGGGTTTTGATCCTTAGAATCAATTGTGACGGTTAATGTTATTGTAGAGGCAGAAGAAATTTTCCAAATTTTTTTTTAAAAACCCCGCCGAATGCAAACCTTTGGTAGGATACACGTCTAGGTTCATTTTGATTTCGTAGACCCAACTGCCGTGGGATCGATCTGTTTGCTGTTCTCTGGAACCGTTTATTCACCTTTTTTACCGAACAAAGCAGCCAGCCGAACTTCCTCAAATCTAAGACCAAGAAAGTTTGATAACCCGACGCTAATTTTACTGATGCAGTTGGAAGAGCTGCGGTCTTTACCATGTAAACTGGAAAGTTTTCAGACTGTGACTGTGATTTAGTTGAATTGACTCTTCAGAAAATAGATTTACATGTGTAATATTGCACGGTAATTGCTCTCACTTCGCATTATCACTGTGAGTGCTGTTCGCAACTCGTAAAAAATGTAGGTAGCAAGCATTTGCCGAGAACCTGAGGCTCTGATTCAATCATATGTAAATCAAAAAACACTTAAAAGAATTTGTTGTAAAAATTTCTGAGAACTGATTAGTGTTAGGACGAAATTATTATTCTCTCTTCAGCAAACTGAGATAAAATTGTAAAAACAAAATGCCAGAGTTCAGTTTTTCTTTTGAGAGAATAGAGAGACAAACAATTCGACAAGTTGTTGAAGTCTGGAACAAATGACACACCAAGCTCCATCAAAGTAATATTTTAACATATTTGTGCTAATACTGTCCAATTTGAAGCCAAAAAGAGCGCTGCGCCATAGAGACATATCCTTAATACGCAGCAGCACCGTACAACTTGCGACTTAAGTAAATTTGTATTGTATAGCTTCTGGTATTATTTGCCCATTTTTTACAATTAGCTTTTAACTTAATCTTCACTCACCTGTAAATGGGCGTCTTCAGACCCACTTTAAACCAAATTACAAGTGCAACGCGATCCTCTAGTATGGGCGGCGTCACATTACAAGGCAAACGGCCCAATGTGCCTTGGATGGATTCGGACAGTACGGGCGGTCCTGCAAAGGCGAAAAAACACACAAAGAAGAAACGTATTAAAATGTGAGATAAATTAACAAAGTGAAAGTCTAACTTAATTACGAAAAAATTCAGCAAAGAAATGCAACTTCGCCAGCAGCGGCGTAAAAGAATTGTAGCGAGAAAAATTTCAAATAATTTACAAAGCTCTTTAAAGGACAAATAACCTGGGGATTCGAAAAACAAATAACGAGTAATTAGCGCTACAAATTACCTGAAGGCAGGAGATTCGCGGTGGGCGTCGGGTGGCGGCGCGAGGTCAAAGTGTAAGTGGAAAATGCAGTAAAGAGTTGTAGATATATATACATATATGACGGTGTATGCGTGAAAAAGAGTGAACGAAAGGGATAAATCAAAATGAGGACAAGCACACTCGGCTGGAGTGGGCTTTTTTGTTTTTGTTTTACTCCTATTTTCCTTTTGCTGCAATGAACTAGCTAAATGAAGCCAAGTAGCGCATAGCGGCGCAATTGTGTTTAAGGCTGTTAGTGTGTAAGTATGTATGTATATGAGTGTGTGCGTTAGACATCCTTAAGGGTTAAACAATGCTAACGCGAGCGTCGACTCGTTGCCGTTTACCATCTTATTTTCTTTATTATGTCTTGAAAAATTTTCTAGCATCCTTGCAGTGTTGCAGACTTAAGCGGCACTAAAGGACTTTTCCGTGACATTTACAAAATTGCTTTTAAGCCTTTCGCTAACTCCTTTAAGTTAATTCGCACTACTACTCTTCTCGTTTTTTGAAGTTATTTGTTATTTGTCCGGACAAAACGCGATTTATATATTTTTGGGTGTTGAACTTTTGGTTCGCAGTGTTTAGTGGCAACTAAAAGTGGATTTAGGAAATTTGCCGTTAAGTAGTTTTATAGAAAATAGTAAAATTAAATTTATATGAAGCAGTGAAATTAAGAATTACTCTCTTATACAAATTTTATTAAAAAATCCATAACCTCGACTTCTTCTTTTAGAATATTATACTTCTGTAGCATATTTATAAGTATTTTTACTACTTCTTTTAACTTATTAGGTGTTTTTCTTGGCTACGAAAGTATTTTTACTACTTCTTTTTATTTATTAAGTGTGTTTCTTGGCTACGATAAAGCGCCTAAATGTAGGCTTTTTTAATTTAAATTAAATCTATTCGAAGCAGTAAAATTTTGAGAATTACTCTTTGATATAATTAAGGAGAAATAAAAAATTAACTTGAATATCTGCTAAAATATTTTATTCAAAACTTTATAACTTGGACTTTTTGTATAAAGAATATTTTCTTCTGTAATAATTACAGGTATTTTTACTATAGTTTTTCTTTTAACTTGCTACTTTAATTTTTTAATAAGGTGTCTTAAAAGACGAAAATAAGATTTAATAATCATGATTCTCTTTATAACATGATAGAAAAAGAATAAGTAAAAAAAATTCCATAAACTTGCGCCTTAATGTAGGCAACGTTTTTTTCTAAATTTCTCGTTAATAACTCGTAAAGTCAAATTGAGATTTTTGTTTAAATGTAGCATTACAAATTTAAAAAACATACCGAACTAAGCGACCGGAACTTTTACGTCCGAAAAAATACGTAGCCCCACATGTCAAATGCCTTGATATTTTCTATTTTGACAATTACTAATGGCAGCATGTTTTCCATGACTTAAGTTTTTGAGGCGATTGGGATATGAAACCGTAATATTCTCTATGCTAGTCACTCCATCAATGATCTCTTTTCTACAAACGGAAATCGCCTTTAATTTGTTTGATTTTTGATGATAAAACATCGAGAAAAGACTTATTAGAAAACTTTACCCCGTGACTAAATGTTGTATACTACTAAAATAATTCAAGTCGAACATCTATATAAACTACAGGTAAATACAATATATGGTTGTACCTATATGTTGCTCGCTAAATGTCTCCTAGGATATATGCCTAAACGTAGGCTATATTATCTTTATTTTAAAAAAGCGTAATAGGTGTGTGACTTAGTTGAGAAAATGCGACTAATTGTAGGCAATATTTCATTTGTAACACTGTTTTCGATTAGAAGGGTATACACCTAGCATTGACAAAAAATAAGGTGGCGTGGCAGGCTCTCTCCGTTAACAATTCTTCCAAATATATTTCCATTATTTGCTTTATTATGCATTTCTTCTTTAATTTCCCTGCCCTCTTAGCAATATATGCAAATAAAATTTGGTTAACAAAATTTTATAAACGAACTTGAACTTTTTTCTCTCACCACTAAACTTTACTCCCTGATATCTTTGCTATTTTCCAACAACGAACCCTTATCCTAATTTACAAGTATAGCGATGTTTTTACAACGCGTTGTTTACACCATGCCGTCTGCAGTTGACGTTGTTATTCTCATTGCCACCATACAAATGGCAAATTTTTAATTTAATTAGGTCGCGGTTGATGAAGCGTCCAAATAGAGTTCATTAACGCCGCATAATCACAACAAAAATTGGGAGCAAAATGCGCGCTAATCAAATTGGGAATTTTGAAAAAAGTGAGTAGCTTGTTTACACGCGACTTTAATTTGTTTATGCAACAGCTAATTTCGGGCTTTTTATCTGGGGAATTGTAAGGAATACTTGTAAGTGAATTTTTGAAAATATTATGAAGCAGTTTTGGTTTGTGATTTTAAGATTTTTAATTTTGTAGTAGGATAAACAATTCATTAAAAGTGAAAGATTTGAAAAAAGAAAATCTGGAGCGGAAGTCTATTACACATTAAAATTGCGTGGAACATTAATATGGAGAGTTGGTACTTAGCAAATAGATAAGGTATTTATCTGAGCTTTTGAGTTCGTTCCTGTTGGCCAGCGATCTAATTTATCCTGCAATTAGGCTTCCTACATCACTGCTCCTTAACTTTATATTTCAGTGTTTTAAAGGGAGTTTCTATTGTGATTACCAAATTGTGTAAATATAAGCGTTTTCCAATTTAGAAGTAAATTAATATTAAATATGAGTATATTTGTATAATATTTGAGTTTGTGTTTTCATACAAATACCACAAAATACTTTGAAATTTCACTTCCATTTACAATATTTATACGAAAATATTGCTTATTGCCGAAATGCTCTCGTTTCATTTTGCGGTTACACTATAACCGCAGTGAAATTTATGGCTTATAAAATGTGGTTTATGTCAATTTAGGTGCAAATAAACACATATGCAGGTATTTACATATTACCAGCACTTTGCCAAATGCAATCAACCAGTATTTGAGCTCAACAATTTATTACACATACTTATTTAACAACGTTGGAGTGGCACCGAGCAGCATAGCAGGTTCTGTAAGGGACCCACAAAGTATTTGGTGACATTCACCTACTTTCAGTGAGCAAACTATCACATAAAATGTTTATAGCTATAATACATAGGCACTTAACCACACACAAACTTACCAAAGCAATCATGAAAGTACTGTACTTATGTGTAGCTATAGCTGTATGTATGTAAGTATGGGTGCATACATAACCTATAAATTTGCTGTATGAATGGGTGCGCTTTACGCTCTAATAAACACTTTCTTCGAAATGACTTTTTTGTAGCTGTAGATGGAAGCATAAAGAAGTAATTGTGTGCTGGTTACTGAACTAGTCTGGTTTTAGTTAAAGAGGAACCAGTGGAAAATCTGTTGGTTACAGGTGTGGACTGTAACTGGTTAGATTGGAACCTGTTGAGATTTTCTGACATCGGTACTGCTAATTTTTATTTTATTTGGACTCCTAGTATGCTTTGAATCTCACAGAAAAACTTCTTTAAAAAAAACAACGTATGCTTCCAAATGAATTTCAACTTTACGTAGTTTATATAGAATCAGTTAGTGCTTTAAAAGCAAATTAAGGTTTGTGGTGTCTGCACCTTGTCCTTTGATAAGGCTTCTGCTGCCACCGCTTTGGTTTTTTTATGCGACCATAATCTCTAAGTAACCAACATTTTGTGATATGTGAATAGGTATTACAAATAGATACATACGATATGAGCTTATAGACAGTATCTATTTAATCGTTGACCCTATAAGCAACCATTTTTACAACTATTTATGTCAGTTCCCGAAATGAAACCGACTCTGCTATTCCTTTTGGTTTTCTGTACAGTACTTGACCTATAAAATAGGTTTGAACTAGACCTTCAAAATCTGGCAAAAAGTTTCCGAAGTAAGACGCGGAAGGTAAAAATTTATTTTTATACCGTAACAGTAGTAATATTAAATATTTGACAAATCCTATTAGTATTTTTTCGGCCGAAACTTGAACCCATGAAAATTGCTTTGAAATAATTCATATTTATCGAAAGTAATCAGTTACGCATTACTTCCGAACCAGTTAGTGTTATAGCTAGACTATATAATATCTCTCTCATGCTCTCCTTTTTCGATGTCAAATTTTACTATACCGTTAAGTACAACAAAAGCTAGGTAGCTGTCACACTCATTGCATTGCACTTCACTACCGCTCAGTTGTTTGCTGTTAGTTTGCGCCATTTAATATCTTTTAGTTAAGTTGTACGCTTGTTGTTGTTGTTGTTTTTCTTATATACTTGCATTGACATAGACGAAACACTGGTGAGTGTGAGACTTCAAAATATACGCATTACATTACAGTTAACCAAGTAATGAGCGCTTAAATGTGCTTAGTTGCATTGATTGCGTTTGTATTAGTATGTGTGTTTGTGTGCAATATATGTACACGTATATGTATGTTATTATAATTATGACTATTCAGTATTTTATGCAATATACTCGCACACAAAACGCTTTGATGGGACGCACTGACCGCATAGTTGTTATTAGTCGAGCTTCCCATATACCACGTGGTAAAAGTGTTTCAGTTTAGTTAAAGAAATGCTAACGAATTGGTGAAAAATTGAAAAAACTAGTTGTAGTCGACTCTTGAGTTGTTATTTTGGTTGGTTTTTGAGACGCTGTGTTTTTCAAATAAAAATTTTGGAAAACTTTGAGCTTTATGCTTT